ATTGCAGCCAAATTCAGTCTGAAAAGTTCTAGTGTATTCCCTAATCTCCCCCTCACATGGGTTTACAATCCCATGGGACAGGGGGTTGCTGGGCAGTCAGAACAATCAGCTCCCCACTAAGGCCACCCTCACAGCACGACCTTTTCAACCGGATCTGCCCACAATTCTGGTCAGATGCACCTGGGAAAGTCCTATTGTCAGTACGGCCCCCTAATACACTGGAGCAAGCACAGTCTGTTGCCACCTTTCAATTTACAGGGCGGAAGATGGGTATGTGCTTAAACCTCCTCCAGTACTTGGGCCCAGTATATGGCCGTGGGTAGGCAGGACGGCTTTCGGCGGCCGTCGATGAAGGGGTTGCTCGCCAGGCTGTTGATGAAAAGTGAAAACAAAAAAAATATACATTTCATCTCAAAGACGCCCGGCAGGCTGTTGATGAAAAGTGAAAACCGAAAAAGATAGATTTCTTTTGAAAGAAGCTCATACTAGGGAGGTAGCAGCACATAACACGGCTCAGCTGGAAAGAAACAGCTGGGGGAAACATAAAAGAAAACAATGTTTTGGAAGAATCAGGGTATGATGGAGTGTCCTTCGGCACATCCGTTAAAATTGCTATGATACAGAGAAGGAAGATTAGCAGGGGCCATGGAACGATATAGAGAAGGAAGATTAGTATGACCCCTGCGTAAGGATGACACGTGGTCCAGATTAAAAATAAATAAAAGGGTACGATCGAGTGAGAGACACAAACCATGAAAAATCAGTTCATCCTAACCACAATAGAAATGGAAGTGTGGCCAGCTGTTGCTTATGAAGCAATGCTACACATAATTCCCGGAAAGTGAATACGCTGAGTGCCGCATTCGCCAGAATCCTTTTCTTTTAGTTTGTTCCCTTTATCAAAGCAAAGCTGGGATGAAATATCAGTCTGTTTCAGGCCCTACTTTTTCTGTTTGTGTGTGTGTGTGTGTGCATGTGTGTGCATGTGTGTGTGTGTATGTGTGTGTGTGTGTGTGTGTGTGTGTGTGTGTGTGTGTGAGAGAGAGAGAGAG